TTGCAGGCGGAAAACAAAAGGTCAAGTAATAAAGCAACCAGTTACCACGATGAAGAAAATGGAGGTCAGGTAATTTGAGAAGAAAAAAACATGGAAAAGACCATAAGAAAAGAAACAAAGAAATGTTAGAAATAACCTCCAAGCATAATTAAGACAATATTTTAAAATAAACTTTGATTTTTAAAAAATTTGCTTGCCTTCCTATGTATAAACACACATAGTCAATCAAGAACCACACTGAAAGGAAAATAGGAGTGAGAAGGAAGTTGAGCCTTTATAAGCAGGAGGGAGCTAAACACAATTTGTTTGTAGTATAGTATTTCTTTGAAAAGAGTAATAGCTACTTGTCTTGCATAAGTAATTTCATTAAATATCAGAAAGAAATATTATTTTAAGAAATTAAACATCATGAAGTAGCAAATGCTATTTTTCTATTGGTGCTGGGTGAGGAAAGTACTTACAGCATTTGTTTTCCTATGTATAATCGCCAAGTAAATAAATATCTCATTTAGTACCTCTCTTATGGGTGTAAGGAAAAGGTGAAAGGAGATATGTCACTCATAAAATTGAATAAAAATGGAATATGGAGATCCAGTAATTTTTTCTAACCTTAGTTGCTTTGATCCTATAAAAGACTCTAAAATAACAGAGAATTGGATGTATTTAAAAATTTCCAAGTGATAGATAAATTCGAAGCCTACATTGTTCACTAGATCAGATTTTTTAAATTGTTGAACATGTTAGGGTTCTCTAGAGTGACAGAACTAATAGGATAGGTATATATAAGAAGGGGAGCTTATTAAGGAGTATTGACTCACACCATCACAAGATGAAGTCCCTTGCTCAGTAAGCTGAGCAAGGAAGCCAGTCTGAATCCCAAAGCCTCAAAAGCAGGGAAGCTGAGAGTGCAGCCTTCAGTCTATGGCTGGAGGCCGGAGAGCCCCTAGCAAACCACTGGTGTAAGTCCAGGAGTCCAAAAGCTGAAGAACTTGGGAGAAAGATGAAGGCTGGAAGGGTCAGCAGGTCTGCTCGTTCCAGTTTCTTCTGCCTGCTTTTATTCTAGCTGCACTGGCAGCTGATTAGTTGGTGCCTACCCGCATCGAGGGTGAGTCTCGCTCTTCTAGTCCACTGACTCAAATGTTAATCTCCTTTGGCAACACCCTCACAGACACACCGAGGAACTCTACTTTGCATCCTTCAATCCAATCAAGCTGATAATATTAATTGTCACAAGTTCGCTCCTTGTCAGCTTGAACCCATACACAAATCCTGAAATCATACATAATCTCCAAATAAAGACACTAATAATGTCATAATTACACCTAACATAATACAGCTATCCTTTGTACAATTGGAAGCACACTAAATCCTTAACCTAAATGCTATTACATAAAGTTAACAACACTTAAATGCTGATATGAAGTCAATAAATCTTACATCACATGATAAAGCAAAAAGAAAGGAAATGAAGATATTTTCTTAGTACAAGTGTATACATGCACAAACATATTCTTAACAGAATAATGAGGAACTATTCATGACAATTGCAGTCCTCATTTCTGCAACAAGTCACGTGTATGTAGCTGGTATTGATGAGTACCTGCTTCTACTACCCATTATGTATTCCCTTTGCCTTCTGCAAGCACCTCAGTGGGTCATGGTTTTTTACCTGACAGGTTTTTTACCTGCTGAGTCTATGGACCAAGTGGCAGAGCAGTTTGCACAGCAGCCTGAACCTGTTGCAGAGCCCACTCAAAACTGGTGGCCTTTCAGGTCCCTCAATAAATGGGCCAGAGTAACACACCCAGGTACAATACTTTCATCCTTCAATCCAGTCAAGTTGACCCTTAATATTAACCATCACAGTGAATGAACAGATTTTCTATGATGTTGGCTCCTTGGAATGACCACCAGAGGCAATAAGTGCACTCTCAGTAGCACTGGGATATGAGGCCCTCTTCTGCCCATTTCCACTGGAAATGGCTTAGATGCAGGGCTTTTTCAATCAGGTATATTCAAACAACAAACAAACAAATAAAATACGGCTAATGCAGAATGAATTCCATAGTTCAGGTTCTTAAAGATAGTGCAAAATCATCACACAATCTCCACCTATTTTGAAACATTATCTTCTTTATCTTATTTTTATGAAAAATTAGATTTTCACTTCCCATGGCAAATGGAGTTCTCCTCTTGCTTCTGTCCCTTTTCTTCACCTTGCAATCACTGTCATTTTGTACAGCTTTCTCTCTATCTCTGTCTGTCTCATACACGCATACACCCACAATGTTCCTTAATATCTTCTAATCCTGAACTTCCTTTCTCAATTTGTTTAGTTAGATATTCACTAAAAATGAGCATTAGAAATGGGGGAAAGTTTATACTGGTTGAACTTGGGTTTTCCAAAGAAACAGAACTATTAAGCGATGGATAGGTAGATTGATTGATTGATTGATTGATGACAGATAGATGAGTGGACGGATAAGTAGATAATAGATTGGTAGATGATAGATACATAGATTAGATAGATAGATAGAGAGAGAGAAAGAGAGATTAGATGATAGGAAGAAAAAGAGATTTATTCCAAAGAATTGGCTTACAGGATTATGGAGGCTGTGACGTTCCAGAATCTGCCAGCTGCAGATCCAGGACATAGTTCACTTCAAGTCCAAAGGCCAGAGAAACAAGGGGAGCTGATGGTATAAAGTGCGGTTCAAGAACAAGAGAGAAAATGAGATGAGATGAGATGTCCCAACACAATCTGTAAGGCAGAAAAAAGGGAAGGACTTCCTCCTTTCTTTGCTTTTTGTTCTATTCAGGCCCTCAAGAGATTGAGTGATGCACAACTATATTAGGGAGGGCAATCTCTTTTGTCTGCATCCAGAAACACCCTCACAGACACACCAGAAGTAACGTCTAATCTAGGTGCCCATGGCCAGTCAAGTTG